GAAGTTGAGACACCCGGGTGGATTTTCTCCCCCCCCCCCCCCCCCCCCCCCCAACAGACCTGGTAGGCCTGCTGCCAAGCATAGTCTTGCTGATTTCCATGCAAGATCTTGTCTGTAAACAAGAGTTATGTTATGGACCAGACTCACCTATCCCTGTGAATCTGCTGACCCCTGCCCCCAAAAAATATCCCACGAAAGATGAAGCTTTGATACTGCGAAGCAATTCTGGAAGCAAAGGCATTTTTACTCTATTTCAGTCTTCTTTCACGTCACATGTTATTGGTTTTGCTTTTGGTTCAGTACACCATTTTATACTATCTTTTATCTTTGTGTCTCTATCAACTTTACCAGGACTAATGGTGTTACTATCCACGTTATCACTTACTGCAGGGAGTCACAATGTTGTGACTAGCTTGGTTGAGGTCACGACAAGTATGGAGCAGGATGTCAAAATGTGAATTCATTCATGTGAATGTACAAAGAAAAATGGATTTGTGCCACTGCTTGTTTTTCCTAGGACAGGGAGAAAAAAATGTTCCCTCCACCCCCACACCAGCACACTTGTTCCTCCATTTCTCTATTTCTTTGTCTCTTTTGCCATTTTATTCACAACACAAGAATACACTCACCAGTCCCCAGGAGGGGCAAGCTGGATACAAGCTTAGATTCAGTGAGCGAATTATGCTGTAAAAAGCTTAGTTTTTCACCACGGTTTTCCTTGAGTTGCCTTTGTGTAGTTTAAATGTTTACATGGAACAGCTTGGGGGCTGGAAGACATATGTATGGTCCAATCCCTCTGTTCCCCGGAAGAAAGTAATGACACCATTTTCAAAGGCTTTTCAAATTACTCCTTTGAATGATACACTGATGAAGTGGCACGCAGAACATATTTTTCTCCATTATTTTATTGGTGAAATTAAACAAATAATGGCACTGCACAATCTTCTCCATACAGTGTCCAAGGTCATTCCCTCTTCAAGGTTCAGTCCAAATTTAATTAATCTTTTTTTTATTGTTATTTTTCTGTATAGCTGAGGTACCTCTAGACACTGTGCCAATTTAGATGTTTAGCCCGTGGAATTAATACATGAAGAATTTATCTGTTTCCCCCTGCAGAGCCTCTCTCCTAAGTCTCATCAGTAAACAAGGGTATATGAAACAAAAAATCCGCTCAGCTATGTGATTAGAATCGGCCCCAAAAGAAGAACTTGCCAACACATCATTGGTGTTACTCCTGAATAATCTAATTTAAGTGTACCTAATACACACAGCTTCTTTTTTTTCACTCAGAAAGAAAAAGTAGGAGCTCTCCGTGGGTAAATAATCCTCCGGTATTACACGAAATTTGTGCAGTGAACACTTTGTCTTACCCATAGGTTGCTCCATATATTCCATTTAAAATAAACGCTCAGAGAAGTATTTAACACCAACACAGATAAGAAAAAAAAACAGTGTTTGTGGTGCTGGATAATTTCATCCAGCTTTCTTTAATATGCAGACATCTACATGGTAGACACATGGTGAGAAATAGAACTGTTTGCCCCATGCAAATAGGCCTTTGGGCAAACGGCAATTACAAGGCAAACGGAGAATGCCAAAACCCTGCAGAACAAGTTAATTTGATTACATTTCCATTATGAACTATAAACAAGGCTTTGCTACTCAACTGAGTCAATTAAAAGCTTTCAAAAGCTGCGCAAATGTTGACAGTTAAACAACCTTTTTGTTCTTCAACTATAAAGTTAATTTAGAAAAAAAATTAAACAAACCTGGCTTTTTCATCATTTGACTGGTTTAAAAAGTTTTTCTGCATTTATTTAAACAGTGTGTTCGGTTTGAACCGTTTCAATCGAGAGCACATTTATTTTCCTTCCTCAGCTGTGATATCTTCCATCATGGTGGATAAGACATCCTGTGGCAGGCTGAATAAACATGTGTAGACAGCATTTGGCAGCCAATAGATAGAGAAAAAAGAAGCCAACCAGTCAGACATGGGAGGCAGACGCAGAAGACGCACGAGGAGTTTCATTCTGAAGTTAGGCTGCCACCATTTCACCTGAGGCTGCACAAGCCGCTTGCTAGTCTTTTTTGGCATCATCCACATTGCAAAGAAAACAATTTCAACAGCTGTTAGCTCCCCGGGGCAGTAAACATGCTTAATTAAATGTGCTTCATCCATCCGGGGAATACATATGTCATAAATATGCACAGCAAGTAAGTATGGCAGTTACAACAGGAGTTACAACATCTGCACATAATCGTGTCCAATATAGAGACTGTGGGGAGATCAAAAGCCTCAAGATTAAAACTGCTGAAATTATTTTATCAGCTACCATACTGGTGTCATTATGGTATATGCAGCATCACATGCATGGGCCTAATAACCTCTCAAATGAAAATATGATGCCATGCTCAGCAGAACTACACGTACATCACAGTTGCCCATCTGGATGGAATTGATTAAGGTTTTTGTCAGTGTTCTTAGGAACTATGAGATGCCTTCTATTAAACCTGTATTATACTTCTATTGATGGACTGTGTAATCTTCCACATATTGATTTTTCTATCTCTCTTTGGACATGTTTGCATCAGAATGTGCTTGTGTGCGATGTTGATAAAATATGATGGGGTGCCCGCATTAGGGCAGGGAGTTTTAATCACACAAGGATTCAGAGTGTTTTAAACAAATGCTTTTTTGTAAGCACAGTGGATTATCATAAGATTTAAAGATTTGGAAATGGCTGACAGCTGTCAAGCTGCATAATAACGTACGTCCAGAAATTTATAACAGCTGTCGGTTGGCAGAATGTCAATGCTGATATCTAGATTAAAGCTCAATAGACAGGAACATGTGCGCACACACTCAGTTTTGCAGATGCGCACAGAAAAAGATGCAAGCTGAAACACAATAACGATCACTTATAACACACATTCAGCTCAGCAGCTGTAAGGAGAAGCAGGGACATAGATACACACCGCTAAGTGAGGAAGACAGGCAGAACCTCACAGGGGTCTCCATGACTCTTAAAACTGCTTGCTGTGTGCAACCTGTACTAAGATTCCCCTGTGGATCTAGGATATATCCTCTTGTGCTCTGAAACACCCAGATTTATTAAGCACAGCAGGAGCATCAGCAGAAGCCTGCTGAAAAACAAGCGCCTACATGCCACCTCTGGTTTCCTGAGGGTGTGTCTGTGTCGCCTAATATACGACATCCTCAGAGGTTTTCCCCTCTCTGGGAACAACTACATCATCTTCAGTTTTATGCACAGACTCTGCTGCAATGCCATTCATTTGCAAACGAGGATTGCCCCTGAGGACGAGATCTACTGCTACTTGAGGATTAAAAAGACCTCTCTGGATGCCGAGCAGACCCCCTGCAAAGACCACAACTGTGACTTCATTAAAGACTCAAAAGGAACTATTGTACACCATAGAGAAGATCCTTTTGAAATGAAAGAGTAGGCGCATCGAGGAGTGAATCTCTCAACAATGCTAAATCACAGCTGGAAACATTCAAGAGTCCAAAATACCCACTGCAAGGATTAAAAGAATTTTGTTTCGGAAAGAGAAGTAAAACCATGTTAGGTAGTCCAGTAGCACCTAACAGATCCTCATAGCCAGAGCATGTTTGCCTGAGAAAACGATGCTAATGACAGCTAGATGAACTGTGCCTTGCATAATAAGAGCCGCCTCAGTCTCTTTTTAGATAAGGTTGGGATCACTTTGGAGCAATGCGACTTGTTCAGAGACAAACAAGCACAGGGATTATACAGCTTTTAGCACTTTGATGCACAGAGCAGTGTGATTGTAGATGGGGACTGCACAGAGAAGGCACCTCTCATATGAATCAACATCTAAAACGTGACTTTTTTTCTCCTGAGGGACCTGCTGAGATAAATGCTTCAAGGATTTGTCAAACATGTATCTTTCTTTTGCTCCTCTCAGGTCCCTCTACAATAAAAGCAATAACTGGTTGAATCCTAATTCACAAAGCTATACCATGAATGTGAATATACTTTACACACCAAGACTGCTGGTGAAATTCCAATAGGTTTAGTTAATATTCTTTGTCCAGTATCAACTTACCTTCACTTCTTGTGACAGTTATGTTTTTTCAGTCGTGGTAAATGGCAGGAAGAATTGGTTCTCCACGGTTTGCTGTCTTTACTAAGCTGTGTTAATTATTAAAAGCTCAAACATCAGTTGATCCAACATGATAAATCAAACCAGTTTTACAGAGCATGTTGTTATTATGAATGATTGGTGTAAATCATCTTCATTTCTCAGTTTTTGTATTGCTTCCTCTTCTCCATATGAAGGAAACCAGCATTCTGTAACATGGCAGTGCTCTCTCACATGCCTAAAAGGCATAATGCAGAACTGGACCAATAAGCCTTCAAACACCTGGCTCTGCTTCAGTGTCCTATCAGTCTTATCTTATAGATTTCATTTATTAACAGTCTGCCAGAGTACTGAGGGGTCTATAAGCAGAAAGGACCGTTTAACCCACTGCAGGAGTGAGTCAGACAGGGCCACTGTCTTTTTTTCCATTTTCATGACAGGTCAGATGCATGGTAACACTGCGTGAATCATTTCTAAACATCTGATAAAAGTGCGCACTTTTGAGGCATTTATGTAAATCTTCATTAGAGTGAAGCCAAATGTAGTTACAGAGACGCTCTGGGTATAATCGTTGTCACATTTTAAACGTTTTGAGTTGCTCTCAAATGCAAGCATTGAACAGAAACCCACCAAAGAATTTTTTTAATTCATCATCTTAGTGTTGTTCGCAAGTGGCGTGGCATTCTGAGTGTTTAAGCTGAATGTAACCTCATGGATGTTGTATTTTTACTGATCTGATCTAAAGTTTCAGGTGTAGTTTTCATTTGATTCTTTTCGCAAACTATTTCTAACACTCTTTCTGGACGCTTTCTGGACCCCGTTCATGAACTCCACTGTTTTACCCCCCCAATAAAACACAAAGCTGCACATCTTACCTTGAGCCTGGACGCTGGGGATCCGACACAGCGACAGCAGAATCCAACAGGAGACCCACACCTGTCCACCCCGCGCCGCTCCAAACGCGCACCGGGCTGGTGCCGTCGATCCCCGGGCGCGGAGTCTGCGGCTCCACGCTGGGAACATGTTGCTCTGTGGTGGCCACGCACTCCAGAGAAGAATCCTGTCCGCCGTTTTGCTGCTGGTCCTGTGCGTCCGACTGCACTTCACTGCTGAGGGGTTGAGTGACCGGAGGGGATGGGTGGGGGGGGGGGGGGGGGGGTGAAGGAGAGACTCCGTCAGAGAGCACCAGACACGCAGACACACGCGCGCGGCGGTGAGGAGAGCCTTTGGACAAGTCCCGCATGAGCAAGGCGGAGTCAGTCCAATTGAATTTGCTCGGCTGTCAAACGTTAAAGACGGAGTCTTCACATCACCTTTTAACTGTTTTGGATTTCTTAGTGTGCAGAAGGAAGTGGGATAAAGAAAAAGAGCAAATGTATGACTAAAATGGCCATGCTATGTGAAGAGAATTATTTTTCCTTAGTAAGAATTCAAAAAAATATATTTGATCACGTTCCCTCTGAAACAAACTGCTCTTTTGTGAGAGAATATCCAACACTATGAAGCTGCAAGTGGTGCGTTTTGTTTCCAGGTGTGTTTGTGCGTGCTGACTCACTAAATGCACACAGAGCAGCAAAAAAAGCAGACACATCCCTCTTAAAGTAAATGTCGAGATGAGTGGCCACAACCTATATAGTGAGGCTTTTCTTTCTTATGAATTGCCCGTCTCACACTCCACGGCAGCGCGCAAAAAACGGTCCCTGGGAGTCTGGGTGCTCTGTGCGCTACTGCCCCCACGCGGCACAAACCCGCGGCAGAAACCTGCCCTGACAGCGATGATTGATCGTTGACACATTAAAACCAAGAGCATGGATTTCGAAAAACAACCTGGTGACTTTTAAACCGTTCAACACCGCTGCGCGTTGAAGAATTTACTACTAAGGTCAACGAGTCAATTCAGTCAGCGTTTGGAAACACGCGCAATTGCTGCGAGACAAATCTATTTTTCTGACCCTAAATTTAAATTCTAATGTGGAGTTGTGCTGGAGAGCAGTACAACTAAAACACCAGACAGGAACACGTAGTTAAACCTGGCTAGTTTAATGTTATTCAGCAGCCTATTTAGTCTTAGATCAAGTAGACTGGCATATTGCTGGTCTCTGTGAATCCTTCCCCTATGATCACACAGGATTAAAGGCATGTTTGAGTACACAGACAACACTGGGTGCTTCAGAACACAGACCAGTATACATATGAGCTGTGATATCAGCTTTGTTGTCCTTTCTACTTTTGAACTCCCTGGAAAATGCATGCAGAGAAGTTAGACTTCAAAGAGCTGCCACTGTATGTCTGCAATTATTCAGACTTAGAAGACCAGCAGTAATACAGACTATCATAAAGCATTCGAGCTTCCATGAGCTAAACCAAGTCTGTCATTGCTCCTCCGTGGATAAACAGGTGTGGTAATTTTGTTTTTCCTCTGAATGTGTATCGTCTTGCTGCAAATGGTCCTACATGTAATTTTCAAGTCCTAGCCTCTCTTGCTTCGCAGTGTCTTATAATTTCTCAATGTCAACAGGGGCTCTTTCTGTGTCATCCTTTGCTCCCTCTCTTTATTTCGTCTCTCCTCACCCTGCTTCCACCCCATGTACCAGCCCCCTACTGATAATGATGTGCTGATTATGAGGCTCTTAGACCAGCAGATTGCTCTCCAGTCTCATTCGCATGCAGTGGAAAATTGCTGCTGTCTTGAAGCCCCCACCCTGCTGTGCGTATCAGCCAGGTTGACATTAGCAAGCTGCTGGGAACAGCACTCAGGCACGAGGGCAGGTGCTCTGTCTCTGTCTGTATAACTACTCCACGGCACAGGAAACAGAGCCTTCCCGATGCTACAAGCCATGCTAGGAGGGGTGTTGGGGTTTGTGGGGTGTGCACCGCAGGCGCGTGTCAGACAGTACTGTACTCTGTAGCTGACATTTCTACCAAAACACCTTGGATTTGCCGAGTATTACCACGAAAGAAACTGATTCCAGCGTCAATAAACCTGAAAAACGGACGGTGTGAAGAGGCTCTCCAAAGCAGATGCAGTGTAATACGCTTCATTAAAAGGGCTCAACTATTTCAATAAATCAGCATCATCGACTAAAAAGGTTGGGAAAGAGGCGTTCTGTGAGTCATTCATGGTATAAATCATTAAATATTCATATATCCAATTATTTCAATGTATTTGACTGGCACATTTAAAAAAGGTCAAATGTGTCAGCGTGGTTTAAGACAGGTTTAAAAGCTGGAAAGCTGTATATTCCCTGATTCAGACAAAGTATAGACGTATATATCTTTCAGAAGCAGATCAGTTTCCTTGATATGTGTAACAAAAAAGCTTAAAGGAGATCAGGATTTTATAAATGTCAAGTTTCCTAGAAAACTGGTTTCCTTACGTTTTAAAAATGATCTATTGAGGGCACTTTTGACTTAAGAAGGTATCCCTGACACTTGTTTGAACACATCTATGCTCGTATCCATTAAAACGGAGATGTCTTATTCACTATTTTATCAATAGAAAGCTGATGGACATTGTTTGTAAAATGTTCTAATTTGAGTGTGTTTATCTGTGCTGCACAACTTCTTCCTTCAGCAGAACTACATACACATTTGGGAACAGAAAGGTTTTAAAAATTAAGTATTTCCCATTTTTTCTTGAAACAAGTATTCAATTGTTGAACGGGTGGTGCCTGCTTTGTGTCACAGTCTCTAAATATGGTCAGCTGATGGACTGCTGGCAGGTTTCTTGATCTCTTATGACTATGCTTTGCTGTTGTAACATATGTGCCAGGACATTTCGAACGATCTTCCTGAAATATATAGTATTATATATAGGATAGTGTCCTCATTTGCATTAGTATATTTGGACATTCAAATATTTGTGGGGTTTTTGCAGGTTGCTTTAGTTCACTATGAGAGAGACTGTAACCATGACGAGCCCTCATATTGCACCCCAAATAAATAACTACCTACTTTGGTCTTGGAGATGGTGAATTCACCATGGCTTTTAAAAGCTGCTCTCTTTCCATCTGCTGGCTTGATTGGAAATGACTGGAACGAGCTTCATTTGAGATTGGTCCTGTGCTGCCTCACTTATGTATGCAGACTGGATAGTGGGAAGGGAAACAAAGTGACCATGAAATACCAGTCTTTTCATCTGTGGGAGCAAACACTAAAACTTTCCATGGTCTATCCAATTCAAACAGAAAAACAATCTAATTATTTGCTTTAGCTTTGTTCTTTACTCTTTGTATTTTTCTGTATATTGCCATTATTTGACACACATGTTGCTGTATTTGCATTGTGGATATGTTTTGCTAATGAAAAAAAAGTGTTCAATCACAAGTGCTGGTAAGCTGCTCATGCACTGTGCAGTGCTGCTGCATCAATCATGACCCCTCATCTACAATACCTCACAGATAAAACCTGATTTATACCCGGTAACACATCACCTCAAGCTCTTACTTTGAGACAGAGCTACAAATTGAAACTTGAAAAACACAAGCGAGCTACTGCTGCAGGATGAATAACCGCATGTGGGCAAATATGTTGGACTGAGGCATCATCTCCAGATCTGCCTTCCTCTAACAATAAATGATCATTTACTATTCTTTATTCTCAAAATGTTCACATTCTTTTAAGCTTTTATGGTGAAATAAAACATAAGTAGTTGCTATGTCTGTATTGGTAGCATACTAGGTTATCAGAGTTAATGTAATGAAAAATAATAATTGGCGCAGTCGCAGAATATTAAGAATATGCTATATTATTTGTGTAGACTCACTTTGATAAAACAAATTACATAAGCAATTTTTCACTCATTTCCCACTGATCCCTGTCTGTGAAATTGTGCCCAAGAAGCAGCTGGAAATTGAATGTTTTAAACTGAAGATGTGAAGCAAACTTCACCAGAAAGATGCAACATTATTGGGATTGGTTGTGTGATTCTGTGCTCTTCCAGTGGCAATTTTTTTCCACCCTGCAGTGACAGAATTACAGAATTAAGTGAATTGAGTGATATGCTGACATCCATGTGCTTTACATTCCATGCGATGCAGAGTCAGGCAGTTACATTCAGAGTCTGTCTTGTGCTAGTCAAGAACACTTTATCACTGTTTGCTTTCAAAGCAGTGATTTTCACAAATATGCTCCGCTTCAGCAATTTGATATTTGCTGAGTGATTGCTATGTCACTCGGTGTGACCTTCAACACAATGACTGGACATTTTATTGTTTCGTGCTTGTCCAGGGTTTGTACAGAATTAACGGCTTACTAAAAGAAACATTCTTTTAGCAAGTTTTGAAAGTTTTTGTCTTTTTCTCTTCTTTCTTCCGAGCTCCAAAACACAGCATAATAACCTATGAAAATATTTATTAGACGTGGTCATTTTGGGACTCAGACACATTGTGAAAGAACTGGGTTTGCAGCATACACCGCATATACAAAGAGAATTAATCAATGTTACCACACTACAGTGCCAGGTTGAATTTTCTTGACAAAATAGATCAATTCATGGAATCAATTATCCTTGTTTGAGACAGGAAGTTCACAAATCACTAACAGGTGGTATCACTTCAAAGGCAAGTTGAAATGTGGAAGATGCACTAGAAAGCATCTCTGATCAGTTTCGATCACTGGCTGATCTGGCTAAGGAAAATCTTTCATATTTAGCTGTTTTAGGAAAATCAAAGCAGCTTTGAAGCAAAATAATCTATAGCTTCTATGTTTGTATTCTGTCTTTTAGCTGATGGCATCACATTGCTAAACCTTGGAGCCTATAAACCTTGCTATGGCATATTGTGGTATTATAAACTGCCCTGGGTGCACAGACTATTAGAAAGGACGAATAGAGATAAACATGCCACTAGTCTTTTTTGGTTCCACGCTGGGTTTTGCATGTGATATTCCTTTTTGTAACCATCTTAAAACTCTGTGGAATGCTAATACAGCATACCTGGAATGGAGAAGAATCCAGATCTTGGTTTCACCAACCAAATCCTAAACCGAGGTCTCTTTAGTGCTATGGAACCAGATGTTCATTACTGACAGAAACATTTTGTCCACAAACAATGCACGAGGAATGGTGGCAAGTGAAGCTTTTTGAGAGCAAATGATCTCTAAAACCTGCACAAGCAGGAGGCACAGGCAGAATTCTAAAAACATAATCAGCCCTGTTAGACTGCGCTGTGTCAGTCCAGTATAGATTAAATGATTATTTACTCAGTCTGACTATTGCTGAATTTTCAGTTCAGTGAATTGTGT